AAGTAGCTAACACTATTAGTTAACACTAAAAAGTTGGGTATTCCCTGAGTCAGCAGTCTATGACAGTGATTTGCAGCTTGTGTTCCTCTTGGATTTGCTGACCACCAGTGCAAGGGGGCAATGTTCTAGTGACCACCAGCTTTTGGCCTCCTTTGAGAAAGGCATCGGTGTTTCCTGCCTGGTGGTAGCTTGTACTAAAATCACAGCCAGTCAAAGCAAATGCATATATTCTTGCTCTTGTTTCCATAACTTCTTCCCAAACAACTAAATAGTATCCTGCAGTTTCAAATATGACAGGGGAACAACACAATAATAAAAGAATCTCAATCTCTTAGTTCGGATATCTCTTAGCTAAATCTTAGGCACTAAGTTTCATTTTTTTCATAAGAAAACTCAAAGCTAGAAATCTCATGTTATATTAAAACTCTTAGCCAGTCCTAGGAAATACATACATATTCTTGGTAGCACATTGACCAGCCATGTGAAAGCTTGCACAAGTCACAGCTTTGGCATCATCACCTAGTTCCACTCCTGCTCCCTGAGCATGTACGTGGCTCCTGCGGGCACCCTTATCTGATGCTTGGCTGCTAGAGTGACTTGGTTCATGTGCCCCCTGTAGTAATGTGCCTTAGGTTTGCTGCCACTGATCTACTGTATAGTTACCTTTATAAGTGATTCTTTGCTTTTTTGTGGCTACTTTTAAGATTTTGTTCTTGTTTTGGATGTCTGAGGTTTTGACTATGGTCTGTCATGAAAAGGTTCTTTTTTTAAATAATTTTATTTTTATTTTTATCTTTATCTTTTTTGGTACTGGGGATTGAACTCACAACTGTGCCCTTGCAAGGCAGGTGGTTATATGCTGCTGAGCTAAATCCCCGGACCAAAGGATTGTGACTATTTAGGGTTCTTTATGCCTCACTTACCTGTATGTTAAGTTCTTTCCTTATTTGGAATGTTTTCTGCTATTATTTCAGTAAGCAGATTTTTAAAATGTCATTTCTACTGCCTTCTTTTCATTCCTCCTAGTTAATCTCATGTTAGTTTTTTTGCATCATCTAGGGGCTTTTGAATCTTTTTTATGTTCTCTTGCTGTTCTTAGGGTATTTCTTATTAATTTGTCACTAACAGTAGCCCTGTTTTTAGATCTGACACACTGTACTCAAATTGATCACTTCTACTTTAGTAAAATTTCTTTATCTTCTGAATTAGTCATCATGCTTTGCATTGTTTTGTTGAGCTCTATTAGCTTTTTATTAGTGTTGCCTGTAGATTCACTAGTTGTTTTAATTGCCTCAATATCTGTTCACGTATATTTCCTGTGAGCTTGCCAATACCTTTTTGATTTGTTTCCTGCCCTGATATCTTTTAAATAATTTGGTGTGTGACTTTTGGTTTTCTCCCCTTTCATGCCCCATGGATCAGCATGGGACAGTTGGGAGCTTCTGGAAGCAATTTGTTGTCTTGTCTTCTCAGATTGATTGATTGTGTTGAGGCTTGCAGTGGAAAACTTTCATTTTTGGGAAGCTCTTTAATTAATGTCTAGTTTTCAGTGGTGTCCCCTATGCATGGTTACCTATTGATCTTTGCATTTCTCCCAGGATCCAACCACTTTCTTTTACTTGGGATAGGAATGTATTTTGCTCAGTATCCAGTTCTCTGGGAATGGGCCATAGTATTGCTAATGACCCTAAGGCAATCAAGATACTGACATCCAAATAAAAGCAATTAAAAGCAACAACTATGTCACCTTGGCTATAGCAACAAAATCGTCATCAATTATAGCATCAAATAGACCACAAATATTGACTCATCCTAGAGGCCAATGGTGTACACCTTTAACATAGAAAAGAACAGCTAAGAGGAATCAAATGCGGATCTGCTATTGACCAGTTGAATCTACTAAATGGAATAACTTTGTTTCTTCTAACAAGAGTACAGTGTTGAAAAAGCAGAAGTGTAAAGTTAACTAGCTGTGTAGAGATTCATGCAGCTTAGCGGTTATACTAGTGAGGATAAGAGAGGGTAAGGGCCGGGTGTTTAGCTCAGTGACGTAAGTGTCTGCTTGGCAAATGTGGTCATGAGTTCGATCTTCGATACCAAAAAAAAAAAAAAAAACAAAAACCGATGTAGTAGCGAATAGAAACAATTTGAAAGTGTAATCAATGGGATATGAGAAGTAGGAGAGAAAAAGTCAGAGGGGGGTCACATGGAGGAGGAAAAGGAGAGTAAGGCTGCTGGAGAACAGTCACAGCAAAGAAGGAACAAGAAAAAGACAGCAAGATGCAGGAAATAGAAGAAAGATAAAAGTTACAAGAGGGTAAAGAGGAAAGGTAAAAGGAAAAAAAGGAGAGAAAGAAGCCCCCAAGCTTCACGAAAAACTGATGAAGGGAAGATGAAAATAATAAAATACAGTGTAAGCAAACAATTTTTGTGCTTTTGAATCGGTGATTTCTTCCCAAGATCTGCAGTCCTTGGACCAGCCAGTCGTATTTTCCCTGCCTGCCTTTGGGACCTGTGGGTGTTTAGCTGTCCTTCCTGTAGCACAGACCCCTCTGTTCCCCCCAGACTGTGGCCGCCATGCATTCTGAGCCATGTCCTTGTCCCCTTGGTACACGCGACAGTCACGGGATCTCGTTGCTGCAGTCTGTCCCTTGGTGCTGTCCCATTCAGGGTCAGGTTGTCTGCTTAGTCCTTCACCTCTGCTTCCCTGTGCCAACGATGTAAACAGAGCTGACTTGGCACTGGTGGGTGGCCGTGTCTTGCTTTGGGGTTGCTGCGTGCCCAGTGCAGGCCCGCTTGCTCCGTGGCAGTAGGGGACCTAACTGGTGCAGGTCTACTTGTTCACCTGTGTGGAGGGGCGTTGAGCTGTATTTCATATTATTCATTGAGTGTTTGTATTAGTCTTCCATTGCTGTAACAAAATTCCTGACATAGGTTATTTATGATGAAAAATTATCTTATTTATAAAGAGCATACATGAATTGAAAGAAAGAAAGCTTCTGTCTGGGAGAGAGATAGAAGGGACCCCAAGTGGATTGCCCAAGAATTTATAATTTATATAACATAAAGCCACTCTTTTAAAATTTGCAATTTGGTGTTGTGTTTTTAAAAAAAAACTTCTTTACAGAGCTGTGCAGCCATCACTGCCATATAGTTGCAGACTATTACATTATCCTCAAAGACTCTCATTCCCATTGTAGTTACTCCTCATTCTACTCCTGTCTCTATGGGTTTTCCAATTCTACTATATAATCATTTTTGTCTGCTTTCTTTCACATGCTGCTTGGAAAAGTACATCAATGTTGTAATAATACAGTGATGCATATTCATTTCATCTTATGGCTGAATAATGTTACATTTCTGTCACATTTTTGTGTATGTCTTCATCTGTTGGAACCACCTAGGTTGTTTTACTTTTCATTCTTTTGACTATTGCTACAATGATCATTTGCGCGTAAGCTTTTGTATGATTTGTTCTCAGTTCTGTTGGTTGTATCCCTGAGAATGGAATTGCTTAGCCATAAGTAACTGGAAGTTCTGAGAAATTGCCAGAGTTCAATACCATGGCAGGCCACAAAGGATTACTTGGTGTCTTTGTCCAGTCCTAACTCCAAGCGGGCCCAGAAGGTCTTGTTAACCAGGATCCCTCAGCAGGGGAATGGGAGAGATGGAGAGAGGAGGGAGAATGAATGGATGCATATGATAAGGATAGCCCCAGGCTGAAGCCTCTGTGCTTGTTTATTGATAGAACCAAGAAGCAAAGATAAAGACAAAGGGAAAATGAAGTTTGTGCAGGAATTCACACAGGAGGCACAGGTCAAAGTGTTCTGTTACGGGATGACCTTAGGGCCAATCTGAGTAATAAATTGCAGTGTTGGGGTGTTGGGGAGGGTGGAGCATTCATTCCTTAAAGCTTTGTGTTTGATCCTGTTTAGACTTATGACCCTGTGGGAGATAGATCTCTTAATCTCTAGCCATGCGTTCTGGGAGGTTTTGGGTGTGTGGTTCCAAGAGTCCCATCTTACATGTCTCTGGCTAATGCCCCCGCACCACTGTGGTGGCAATGTTGTATCTCTTCCCAGAAAATATAAGGGTTCTAATTTTGTCACATCCTCACCGATACTTGTTATTATCCTTTCTTTTCATTACAAGCATCAAATTGTTGCTTTGTTCTTGTTTTGATATTTATTTCTGTAATTTATGAAACTGAACTTTCCACTTATTAGCCATTTAGATACCTTCTTTGGGCAGTATCTCTTTAGAAAATACTGTGTCAGTTTCTAAATTATTTGTGTTTCTTTTGTTGAGCTTTAAGACTTCCTAATATATTGTGGATGGCAATCTTACTAGATAAGATTTGCAAATATTTTCTCCCATTCTGTGTGACTTTTCACTTTAATGGTGTCCTTTGAAGCACAAATGTTTTTATTTCCAAGACATCTAATTGTTTCCCTTTGTGTGTTGCATGTCACATCTACAAGAATCATCATCTAGTCTAAGTTTATGGAGATTCATTTCATATATTTTCTTCTGTTAGATTCATTTCATATATTTTCTTCTGTTTTTATAGTTTACTTGTTACCTTTAGGTTGATTCTCCATTTGGAGTAAATTTGAGTGTATGATGCGACAGGGTAGGTTTTACAACTTTGTTCTTTTCTGCATGGATATCCAGTTATCCCAGCACCATGTGCAGAGAAGCCCTTTTGAGTTATTCTCACTGACTAGCTCTGTGCCTAGCACATGTAGATACTCAGTAACTTGGAGAAGGAAGAAAGAGAGGACTTTTGAGACAGGCTTTCCTTATGCAGTCTAGGCTGGCCTTGAACTCATTTTGTAGCCCTGGCAAGCCTCAAACTCACAGCAGCCCTTCTGCCTTAGCCTCCCAAGTACTGGGTTTATTGGGTTGTGCCACCATACCTGGCAAGAGGACTTTTAAATAATGAATTACAGCACTCTTAAATACTTTTCTAAAACTATTCTGTCTTTCCTTTACAATAGCTTTTGGAGCTGTTTGACAGTGAAGATCCTCGAGAACGGGATTACTTAAAAACAGTCTTACACAGAATTTATGGCAAATTTCTTGGTCTTAGAGCATTTATCCGAAAACAGATTAACAATATTTTTCTAAGGTAAGTGGAGGATGGGGGTTCAGGGGAAGCGATGTTGACATTATTATAGAAGTATTAAGTAAATCTCCAATATATGAACACGATATACTGATTTTTAGTCCGTCTCTCTCCCCTTCCCTCTTGTCTTTGAAGGTTTGTTTATGAAACAGAACACTTCAATGGCGTAGCTGAACTATTGGAAATACTAGGAAGGTAGGCACTTTCTGTGTTGTCTCTGTTCTCAGGTAAATATCATGGAGGTGGCACAGTGAGGTGCTGGCCTAGGTCCTCTCCTTGGTGCTTAGCCTGTTGCCCAGCGGACTCTACACGGAGCGATTTCCTGTTCCCCTTGGTCCACCACGATGTGTGGCTGATTCCACTGGTGCGACTGGAAGAGCTAATCCAGTCATTGCTGCAGACACAGTCTGTCAGTTGTGGTCAAGCCAGTTAGACCAGGATGCCTCACTCCCCGAAGCCTGGTTTCCAGGCTGCCCTGTCATTTGCCACATCTGTTGAAAACAAGTTTAGAATGTGGCAACAAGATGGCCATTTTCATGTGGACTGAGTGCCCAGTGCTTGGCTCCCACGTTCAGCTGGACAGGGCGCTGTTGTGGAGGTTCCTGCACACATGAGAAGCCAGAGAGTGATCACTCAGCGTTTGCCTCCTATACTGGGAGTGGAAGAGGGCAGTGTCACCTGCATTTCTCTGTGACCACGCTGGGCTGAGCGGGAGGGAGTGAGAGAGGCAGGCGATTACATGGGAAAGAAGAAGAGAGGGGAAAACAAAGGTTTTTGGTTTTTTGGGGTACCGAGGATCAAATGCAGACCAACCTCACTTGCCAGGCAGGCAGGCACTTGTGCCACTGAGCTTTATTCCTGGCATAATGAAGGTTTTTGATACAAATGTTTTGGGAATGATCCTACTAGTTTCAAGTGCAGAGGATCTGTGCTCAGGTGATCGTGAACAAATGTACTTCTCTAGGGGCTGGGGATTTAGCTCAGCGGCATAAGCGCCTGCCTTGCAAGCAGGCAGTCGTGAATTCGATCCCTGGTGCCGATAAAAAGGAAAAAGACCAAAAAAAAAAAGTACTTCTCTTAAACTCTTCTCACTTTGAGTCACCCTTTGAAGTGATTGTGGAACCTTGATTGCTATTAGTGTAGGATTTGGTTCCAAATTTTGGAACAAAATTAAACATGAAGATTTACTCAGCCTCGCAAGAACAGTGGCCCTTGCAGCATGTTGTGGTAACACTGCTAATCTGTGTCTCTTTTCTTTTCCAGTATTATCAATGGCTTTGCTTTACCTCTGAAGGCAGAACATAAACAGTTCCTGGTAAAAGTGTTGATCCCTTTACACACAGTCAGGAGCTTATCACTCTTCCATGCCCAGGTATAATTTTAAAGTGTAACTTCCTTTGAAGCAATATGAAATTTGAAAATTCAGTGATTTCTTTTAATGTTTCTTGAATTCAAAAAGTGAACTTGTTAAAAGTTTAAAATACTTTGAGGAAAATCAAAATGTGTAGGTTTTTTTCCTGTCCACAGGCCTGTGAGAATAGTTTTAGAGGGAGCAGCTGTGTTCAGTCTGGTTTCACAGAGAGCTTCAGCAGTCTGCCCTCGTGGCACCTGTTACACTTTGTGTGTTGGACACAGGAGCTATGTAGAATGGGCTCTTGAGACAGATCTTTGGTTTTGTTTTGTTTTGTTTTGCCTTGGCGTGGTTTTTGGAGACACCGTTTGACTTTGCAGTCCAGGTTGGCCTTGACTTCACTGTGGAGTCCGTTCTGGCCTCCGGTTCTTAGCAGTCCTCCGCATCAGCCTCCTGAGTACGGGGATTACAGGCACGTGCTACCTTGCTTGCCATTATTTATGTCCTTAGCCTTGTTTTGTTCCAGGCTTGTTTTATATCATCCTATCCATTGCCCTTTTGCCCTTTCTTTTACTTTACTTAACATTTCTTTCTCACAAATAAAGCCTCTCACAAGTGAACAGTCTTATCAACGTTTTTACATCTTTTTAAAAGCAATTTATTGCTTTGAAAGGCCTATCTTGTCCCTACTCTGATTTCTATGCTACCATTCCCTTACGGGAGGGGTAAGGTTTCACTAGATGGCAGATAAATGCTGTAGTGATACTTTTAATTTTAGTATTTTAAATCTCTGACTCCTTCCTCCCTCCAGTGAAAATGTTTTGAATTTGTATAAAAATATAACACATTTTCCTAAGTAGAGTTCTTCTTTAAAGATGTGAAATTCTGGGTTTTTGAGGAAAAATTAGTCCATATGTTTCTACTTCAGAAGCTATCAAAAATGTTTGTGTTTGTGAGAGTGATTTCTTATCCAGCAATCCTTGCAAGCCCCTTGAATCCTACCTTCAGTATTGGTAGTGGGACATCACATTTTGTGATCATGTAAGAGAATCATTACTTACATGTGTTAGCATCAGATGCAGAGCTTTCTTTACATTTTTGTAGATTCTAACTATGGTAGGTGCGGCATTTTATATCCTTGTGAAATTGTGTTAGTCCACACGCTGGTATTTGGCAAGTGTCTCCTTTGCCTAGGAGACGGAAGCACGGAACAGCTAGGTACTAGTCGTGTTGATAAGAAGGGAAGCTCGTGAGATGTGGCCTGAAGTTTGTGTCAGTGAGGCACTTTTGGGGTACACTGAAGAAGATTGCACTTCTGCTTTTCATTAACTGGGTGCTTCATGTCACATTACTCACAAAATTATCCTGGAATCCTTCTCATGTTGGTCTTTGGTTTGAAAAAAGTAGCTTTTAGCTGGGAATGGCGGTACATCTTGTGGTCTCAGCTATTTGAAAGGCTGAGCAGGAAGATCACAAATTCAAGGCCATCCTGGGCACATGTAATGAGACCTTGTGTCTCAAAATAAAACTAAACAAAATAACCTTAATTTTGGTTAATATATTTTATTTTATGGTGGTTAAAATGAATTGATTGTGAGGTTAAAACCAGAGTCTGAAAATGGTTTAGAAAGTTTTAATACACTTTTGTCTTTGTAGCCTTTAGTATATAGAATTTAAAATTATGTTCCTTACATTTTTCTTTATTTAGTTGGCATACTGTATAGTACAGTTTCTGGAGAAAGATCCTTCACTCACAGAACCAGTAAGTTTTTTTTTTTTTTATATTTCAACAAAGAGGAAAAGCACCTTTCCTGAAATCCTGTACCAAAAAAAGTTAAATTCTGCTTATTTTTTTCTGCTTTTACTTGTAGGTTATTAGGGGCTTAATGAAATTTTGGCCTAAAACATGCAGTCAAAAAGAGGTGAGTGCTTTGTGTCAAAGCCTGTCAGTAGCTTGCTGAGTGCTCAGCTGAGTGCCCGAGCCCGGCTGCACACGTAGAGAAACACATTTCATCTGGACACTGCGTAACAGGCAGGGTGAGGAGGCAGCCCGGGAATGTCCCGAGCTGCAGGCTTCAGGAGGTGAGAGCGCATCAGCTCACTGAGTGAGAAGTGAGCAGACAGCTGGCCTCACTCCTCCGCAGTGCTGCCCAGCCCAGCCCAGCCCAGCCCAGGCCGCCCTCAGGCTTCAGTTGCTTTGGTCTGTTGATATCACCTTACTAGTGTCCTGCCTCCTTCTAGTCTTACAGATGCCAGACTGACGTGGTTCAGTCCCCAGTTTAAAGCGTAGCACAGGTGGGATCTTACGATGTAGACTCCTGAAATGTCCCCAAGCCTATAGTTTCGGCAGTTCCCGGAGACTCTGAAGTTCTGACCCACCTCACCTGTGCCTTTGCGGGGCCCTTGTGTGCTGCCATGTGGGGTGTGGGGAAGGCAGCTGCGTGTGGGAGATGGGCTGCGTCGGGCAGGAACTGAATCTGGCACAGAGGTTTCTATCTGGGGAGGACTTGGGTAAAACTTGTGTGTACATCCTGACAGTTCCTAACGGGCTGCAGAGATCATTTCCTCTTCCAAATCGCTTTAATGTTCCAAACCTTCCTTTCTGATTTCTTTACTAGGTAAAGTCTAACCATCCTTGCTATCCATTGCTCTCAAGAAATGAAAGTGGTATAAATTTTTGTATCTTAGTTACACACATAATTTTTCCCCAAAATAATTTTTTCATGGCTAAATGATATCTTTTTAAACTTCACTGATCATTTTTCCATTATATTTAATGTAGTGACCAAATTAATACTTTGTCTGATTCTTTTTTGTGATTGTAAAAGCCCTCCTCTCTAGGCATGCAGTACCGAGACCATGACATACCCTGTGCTCTGTAGAGAGGCATGTGCCCGTGTGTGTGTGTGTGTGTGTGTGTGTGTGTGTGTGTGTGCGCGCGCGTGCATGCATGTGGGCCGGTATGAAGAATGGGCTGGTATGTGCTGGCAGCTTTAATGTGGTCCCGTTCTGTGGGTCCCTCAGCTTTTCCTGTCCTAAGAATTGGTGTGGACTAAAGGAGCACCTGACACATAGCAGGGACTGTAGCTTGTGTTGCTCCTGTCTGTTTCTGCATATCCATGCAGTGGGCCACACTCCAATGTTTGAAAAGGTGGCGTGGGTGGCAGCTGAGTGAAGTGATAAAGGCAAACCCTGCAGGGAGTACCTGTTTCCCGGGGGCCCTGATGTAGCCAGTGGTTCTGTACAGTATCAGTAGCCAGTAAGAGATTTTCTCCAAAGGAAATAGAATTATATTTTCAATGTTATAGGGAACTTTTAATAAAATAAAATACTCTGTAGTGAATTCTTTGTAGAGTGAACATTTAACATAGGATGACACCTGGTTTGCTTATGTTTGGCTTTATGTGTACCTTTTACTTAAATGATGATCATGTGGTGTCTTTTTATAAAATGTCTCTGTCCTGTTGGTGTTTTGCTTCTGCTTACAGGTCATGTTCCTTGGGGAGCTGGAAGAAATTCTGGATGTCATTGAACCTTCACAATTTGTTAAAATTCAAGAACCTTTGTTTAAACAAATTGCCAAGTGTGTATCCAGCCCGCATTTTCAGGTTAGTGATGATGAGGACACCAAATAGCCCTTACAACAGGAATTACTCTGACTAAATCGTGTTTGTGTTGGAAGAGATGTAATGGACACTAGCTGTCTGATTTACCTGGGTTTTAGTTGCTATTTTGCTTTTATTTGGTCCCTGTCCCATGGTGACATAATCTGTACAGTGGCTACCTCCCTTGGGCACCTGCGCCCTGAAGGTGCGTGGCGGGGCTTTTTGTTTGGTGACCTGAGTTCCCATCACCCCCATTTTTCACAGATGTACAGATTGGAACACTGAACCTCCCCTTGGTGAAAGAACTTATATCAGGGAAACGTCAGAATACAGTGTAGGCTGGCTGGTTTCTGTGTAAGAAAGTATAATGCTTAAGAAGGAACAGACCACTCTATGCAGTGCGATGATAGATCTTTATCATAATTTCACATTATCCTGTGACGTTCTTTTCAGTTTTAAAAGTGAGGGCCAGAGAATTCTTTTTTCACGGTCCAGTTAATAGGGCATCAAGTTAAATTTTGATCTTGAACACATTCCTCTCAGAAACCTTGGGCTTTCGGCGGCTTGCCCTACCTCCCTGTGGCCACCAGAGAGCACAGGGCACTCCATGCTTCACCAGGGCCCTTGCTGTCGTGCTATGTAGCCCACACAGGAGAAGAGAAAAAGGCTCATTGGGTGTCCTTGTCCTTCCCTGGCTGCCATGTCATCAGAAATCCATGTCCAGGCCTAAAGGAATGACTGCGGTCTGCCCATCACTCTCACGAGACTGTGCAGATTGTGGTCAGCCTGAAGCACTTATTCCTCACACTGTTATTACCCTGCAGCAGCAGAGACGCTAGCTGTTGCTGTTGTTTTGATTTTTGATTTAAAGACATGTTTGCTTGGTGAAACAGTGATCTTTATGTTCATTTAGTGGTCGGACCACAAACAAAGGCAAGAAAAGTAGAAACCATTACCTGAAGTGTTCAGATGCTATAACATGTCTGGATTGAAATAGACTCAGGATCTGTCTGAATATCTGCGTATTATACAGAGTCTATCATGTTCAGATGTCTGGTTTCTTTGCCTTATCCACCCACTTTTCACCTTGACGTTCGATGCAGGGATCTCCTCAGTTGAGCATTACTGGGGAAGCTTAAGTGATGCTCATAGGCTTAGGAAGAAGCAGCAGTATCTTGGGTGGCTTAGCTGTCTCTCCCCAAATGCCACAGGTAGGTGGCTCAGAGACTGGCATTGTGAGTTGGTGCAGGTTCGGTTGGCATTTGATGAGTCCTGCTATGTGGCCACATACTACTTTTTTTTTTTGTACTGGGAATTGAATTCAGGACTTTTGCACTGAGCTACATCCCCAGCCAGTTTTATATTTTTGAGACAGAATCTCACTAAGTTGCTAAATTGCCCAAGCTTGACTGAAACTTGCAGCTCTCCTGCCTCAGCCTCCCAGAATGCTTGGATAATAGGCTTCACTGTCCCACCCAGGTCCAATAGAGCTATTCGAGAGCAGGGGAAAGGAAAGTATAACGAATGATGACGTACAGGTAGCAGCTCTGCACGGTGATTGTAATTACTGTGTTTTGCAAATTATTACGCTTTGTAGAGATGTTAGGGCCTGTTTTTGAGGTCTTACAAGTTCATAAAACCCAAGGTGAGCCTCTCAGGTCAGGCGCAGCACACCGAATGGGAGGGAGTAGGTGTAGCACAGTGGGCAGAGACCAGGGACCTGGGGTAGCAGGCAGCTGTCGCCAGTGTCCCGGAGGCCAGAAGCTGCCTGCCCATCTCCTGGCTCTCTCTGTTCAAAGGAAGGGACTAGAACCGAACGCCACAGAAATCCCAGGCCTCAGATTGAGTTCCTGGCTCTTGTCACTGAGCAGCAGTCTAACAGGATAGGCTCCCTGATCTTTCTGAACTTGCAGATCTTCACTGTAGTTAGGGTCCCTACTTCCTGCGTGGTGGTAGGTAGGACACATTGGACCTGCGTTGTGGAGTCTTCTGTTGCTTCAGTGGCCACAGGAGACCCTTAGTAAACAGCGGGCTCCAAGCACCTGTTGAGAGCTCCGGCTGGGAGCCTGAGTGGGGCTGAGGCGGATGAGCCAGGGCGGCAGGGGAGGCGCCACAGGGCAGCTGTGAGGTGTGGAGCCTGGGCAGGGGAGGTGCAGTATGACGAGACGGGAAGACTTGAAGGAGAATGTAAATTAACAGGGAGAAAACATTTTTCCTTACCAAAATTGATGAAACACCTCAGATCATTCTGAGAGATTTTAAATCCACAAAAATGTGAGTTAATTATTAGTGATTAATATTTAATTTTACTTTTGACTCAATAATTTTAAAATAGTCTTAAGATACTTGCACTTAGAAAGATTATCATTTATTTTATCTCTGTCTTTTCCTTTTCTCAAAGGTGGCAGAAAGAGCACTGTATTATTGGAATAATGAATACATCATGAGTTTGATAGAAGAAAACTCCAATGTCATCCTTCCCATCATGTTTTCCAGCCTCTACAGGATTTCAAAAGAACACTGGAATCCGTAGGTTTTGGGCTTGGTTTCAGTGTGTCTAGTTTTCCTTCCTTCCTTCTCCTTTTCTCTCCCTCCCTCTCTTGTTCCTTTCCTTTCCTTTTCCTTTTCCTTTCCTCCTTTGTTCCATCCTTCCCTCTTTGCTCTTTTCCTCTTTCCCTCCCTCACTTTGTCCTTTACTTTTCTGTCACTTTCTCCTCCTCCTTAATAAAATGTTGTGGGTGCTCACTGTGTGCCAGATGTTCTATGTGTTGATAAAGACAGGTATTTGAAAACATTAAATCCCTACCTCTCAGAAATTTGCACTGGTTGGGGAGACTCAAAGTAAACCAATGTTTTAACCAAATGGTGCTGCTTTGTTAAAATAGCCGTTTGCTTGAGTGACTTCCTGACCCAAGTGTGATGCTAGCAGATGTATTTTTGGGGGTGCCTGGGAGCTGGAAAGATATATGATGGAAATACATCACTCAAATTGAATCTTAAAGCAGTGTGCCAGGTGGTTGGGATGGGGTGGCCCTTGAGACAGGAATCTGTCCATCACATACAGTGGCATAGAGATGTGAAACGTGAGGCCCAAGGTAGGGCTGTTGTGCCGGAAGATGGGACTGGAGAGGGAGGAGCCTCCCAGGAGCTTTCAGTAGTGGAGCTGGGGGAATACCCAAGGGTTGGTCAGAAAGCGGTCTACACAGAGTCACGTTTCACAGTAAGACCTGTTTCCTGCTCACCAACGCAGGCACTGGCACATTTTGCAGCGGGGAAGAAATTTTAAAGTCTTGTAAGAGAAGTGTAATGCAGTGCTGTGTGTGTGTGTGTCTGTCTGTCTGTCTTAAAGCATTCTCTACTTGAATGGCTTTACATATTTTCTTGATGGAGTAGTAGAAAAATTTAATGTGGAATTTAAGAATTAGATATTGTTCACTAAGTCATAGTAAGTTTATATCCAAAATAGTTACACGAAATTGTGAGATACCACATCTTACATTTTTCAGATATGCTGTGTTTTATTAGTAAAACTTGAAAAGTTGAAGGGCTGGTAAGTGGGTAGGTCCCACTGACGGGCTGGGGAGGGGAGGGCAGCGCTTCCAGGGAGTGGCTGTGAGGCACGGGGCCCTGTGCTCCGAGCCTTCCTGTGGCCACTGGTGAAGGGCAGGCTGGAACCTTAACAAAAAGGACCTCAGCTTTTCTTCCAGGGCACAGAGAACACTTTCTTGTAAATATTTGGGAAACTCAGACTTGGGTTAAACGTGGCCTAAGTATTCCCAGCGCTCTCTTCCTGGTGCTGGGGGAGTATTCTGCACAGGTGTGTGGAAGGCTGCAGTCAGGAGCTGCCCGGTGCACACGCCATGCTCCTCACGTTGCCCTGGCTTTGTCTTTCTGTTGGGTGAGAACGGGCTGCCGCCGCGGCTGCCAAGCTGGGTAGCGCTGCACATCTGGTAGCAGCCTTCACAGCGCTCCAGTTACCGTCTGTCCATGTTGGGGCAGCAGAGGGCCTCCTGGGAGTAGATGGACTGATGCAAATTACAGCTGAAAAAATAGCTTCTGTTCAGCTGCCCGGCATGCAGGAGCTTGGTGTCATACCTTTGAGTGTGAGTAACCGTATGTAAATACTTCTGCATATACACTTACATGTGCGCACACACACATATACATACAATTTGTTTCCGTAGGAACCACTTCAGATTCTGATGAATTATGTATATTATTACTTTAAAAGTAAAATTTTATGCAAATCCAGGCCTCTCTAAGGTTAGGCCTGCCACGGGTGCTTATTTTTAGGATGTGGTTGCTGTTTTTATACTGTCTGTTACATGAAGTTATCGGGTAGCCATGGCCAGTTTTATTCGAGATACTAGTAATTAGAGGAGCGAAACTAACTTTCTCTTTCTGCCATCCTTAGATAGATTTCCTCTTGAACAGTAAAGAGTTTAAATTTCTCCATGTGGAAAGAAGTCAGCTGTAGGTCATTTCTAGTTGTCTGACTGAAAAGCGGACCAGAGCCAGCCTTTTACTCTCTTGTCTCAGCAGCCTGTTGTGTAGGACTCACTGTGTCCCCTTCGCCTCTCCACAGAGCCATCGTGGCACTTGTGTACAATGTGCTGAAGGCGTTCATGGAGATGAACAGCACCATGTTTGACGAGCTCACAGCCACGTACAAGTCAGATCGTCAGCGGTAACTCGTTAAAGCTTTTTTGTCTGCTGTATAAAATACTGTTGAGCACTTTTCCGAAGACTACCTCTACTCCAATTTATAACCACCCCAACTTTATTCCTGTATATATTCATGTTGGCATGCTCATATGTGTGTCTCTGCTAGTGTGCCACTGAGCATCAAAGCTCTGTAGCAGTGTCATTCTGATGAAGTGTGTTTTCCTCTCTTCCTGTGTTTTAGTTCTGCCTTAGGGTTAAGAGCCTGGCAAATAGCTGGTGTTTGCTGTCAAATTTGCCGTGAGGTAGTATGCTCTCCGCACTCCCGTTCACTCCTAGCCTGCCTGAACTAGAATCAGGATGGTGGTGTTCTTTAGCAGAGTAGGGATGAGGCACTGTTGTCTAATTGTTTGGTGCAAATTTAATTTTCTATATAAAACCCAACAAATGCATTACAATTTACTGGGAAGTAAAGGAATATAGGATGATAATCTGGCATTGGGTAAGTCTTAGTGTTCAAATTTGACAGGGAGTAAAAGCCAGTGAAACCCTGGATAGTAAATGGCTTAGCGAAGTCTTTTTTATATTTCATTCACATGATTCTCCAGCTTTATTATTTCTTGTCCAATATGGCTAACTTTGTATAAAACATACATAGGAAGATTAAGGAAAGTCTGGACAGCTCTTAGCAGTTGGGTCTCAGGTTTGTCTGCGATCACCTTGAAGCAGTGTCAGCTTGTAGATCATCAAACTGGGGACCACAGGACACCTAAAAGGTCTGTGTAGATGTTTATGTCCAGCACCATGCTGAAGCTGCAGGATAAACTGCCAGCACTTTGCTTTTTTGTTTTGCCTAATTTTGAGTATATCACTTGTGTTTTACTGAGAAAAGATGAATGAGGGGGAATGTTTGGCACAGAGCAAAAGACCACTATAGTTATTTGTGATTGTTTTTTTTTTCCTTCAAGTTTCCAAAGATGTGACTTAGGAAAAACAACTTACTAGGGGCTGGGAATTTAGCTCAGTAGTGTAAGTGCCTGCCTGGCAGGCAGGAGACCATGAGTTTGATCCCGAGTACCAAAAGAAAAATAAAGAAAGAAAAACAGCTTACTCTTGGAATGTGGTGGGTATTTAGCTGTAGACAGAGGTTGACTTTTTAACCATACTATTGGGATAAATAACAATTATGGGATAGGTCATTGCCACTCTTGGAGTTGTTGCAAAACATTAAATTTATAATAACTCTTCTTGCTCTAGACTTAAAATACTTGAAAAATATTATTTAGAAAAGAGCTAAGGGCACATACTAATATTACTTGCATAGCATTTTGTCTTTAAGAGCAGCAGAATGCTCAGCAGTTACTCTTGTTGAGTAAGGATTAAATCTTCAGAGTCCTACCAAGAATACTGACAGGGCTTGTGACGCAACTCAGTGGTAGAGTGCTAACCTAGCGTGTAAAAGGACTCAGGTTTGATTCCTAGCCCCAGAAGGATATTCTTAAAGTTACAATCAATTTGAAGGCCTTATTTCTAAAATACTCAGATTAATGGGTTCATATTTAATGTTGATAATGAAAATGTTTCATGATCATTTATCGTCTAAACAGACATCTTCTGAAAAAGGTAACTAATGAGAGTAAGAATAGAAAAAACCCAGGTTGATTCTGATATTTTGACCTATTACAATGATTTACAGTGAGTGGACTTTCTTAATGAGAAGCACTGGTTTCTCTGTGGGTGTGAGAATGGGAAAAAAGAATGAAGAGGTTTATTTGGTTCTGTTGGAGAAGAACTCAGTCAACATTTTACTTCAGGAGGCAAAAAATTAATGGCTTCAGTTCAGAGCTGATTTGTAAGCGTTCCGAATCTGAAAACTGTGGGTGCCGTCAGAGTCTAACACGACTAGACACCTATGCCAGGGCTGTGTAAAATGGAAATTGTAAGAGCTATTGACAGCATCCTCATGATGGCAGTGTGGTTAAACTTTAAAATTTCCCACCTATAAGGAAAGAGAAAATGGGAAAAAGTAAGGGGGCAGTAAATACATCAGATGTACTTAGAAGTTTTGAAAATACAGTTGTCATTAGAAACCCCTCATACTGTGTGATAACCATAACCATATGACAACCATAACCATAACCGTGAAATTTGTGAAATCATAAATTTCACCTGGAAGAAAAGCTTCCTAGGACAAAATCCCATTAAAGCTAGAAAATTCCTGATCAAAAATATGAAAAGATGATTGTTGTGATGACATCAGTACAATTTAAACTGTTAATTAGGGCAGTGTGAATGTGTTGTGTTGAGCTGTTTTTCAGTTGAATAAAGTTCCCAACATTTTCATACCATTCCCTCCCTCCAAATAAAAAGGTCAGATGACATTAAACCTCAGCTGTACCTGTAGAACTGATACAATATCCTCAAATAAGTGCTCTCTGAGAATATCTCTTTAGACTAAGATTATACCCAAACTGATTGAGAAATAAAAAGTCACCACTTGCCAAAGAGTTTGCTTGCACTTAACTGCCTGGAACCCACAGTGACTGCAAGATTATTCAATCTTGCCTCTTACTGCCCTGCAAATACAATTTTTCAGGGTCAGAATGATCAAGTAGGTAGTTTTCTGAAAACAATTATGATCACTAAAATTCATGTTGTATGGATTGCATTTGTTGAAACACTTGTAGTAAACAAAGATTAAATTATCAAAATATTAATTGTGAAATGAATACACTAACTACCATGTTGTATATTTCATCATTCATGCAAGACAAACAGAAAGAATATTAAATCACATAGGTTTCTCTGGTGTTTTTCTGGGGAGAAGGGGAAGGAAGATTAATTTCTATTCCTATAGATGTTAATGTTTTATAAAATATTGGTGCTAGAAGGTATGAGGTATTGATGTTAAATACAATTTCATTTAACCATTGTAGATTTCTCTGAGTGAAATTTGTACTGTAGCTGAAGTTAAATCTTTACTAGCAAAGGAAGGGACTAGGCCTTTGCCATGTTGTCTGAGTTGGACTTGCTTTTTACTGGTTCATTCTAGCATGAGAAAACAGGTGTAGCACAGTGAATTATTTTTAATGTGAATTTATTTAATTTATAACTTGGTCATATATTCATTGATATGTGCTTCCCATGGTTGATAATAAAATATCCTCCCGCCTTTTAAAAAATAGCAATTTCAGAGTGTCTGGTGAAATAAAATGTGTTGGCTCTATTTTTGGATCAATCAGTTTTTGCTAAATTTTACTAAACAATGAAATCTTAAAAGTCAAAATTATTAGTAAAACTGATATTGAAGCTTGAGTGCTTGGTACCTTAGCAGATCAGTACATAATAATAATAATATCAACAAAGTTCCATCCAGATCATTAATTAAAACTGGAATCACAAGTTTTCAGAACCTGCCAACAAGACTTCTTTTTCTGTAGCACAGGAAAAGTAGGACTGCGGAGAGGATGTATTTTCTTGCCCTTCCTCAGGTCTGTCGTGTTATTTCTGACTTCTCTTCTGAGAATGCAGGTGAAGGCGGATAGAAAGTCAGGCTCTCACTGGGCCCCAGGGAAAAAGCACTAAGTGCTCTCGGTTTTAAGGTAATTGGTACGTGCAGATCATTCCCATGTTTGCTTCTCAATAATTTTGAAGTTAATTTTCTGTGTTAAACTGAGTATAAAAGGATATTAACTTGCTATCTTAAAATAGTGTTTTCTCTTACTCTATTCACTAATACAACATTTATGTCTATTGTCAAAAAAGAAAACTGAAGAGAGAAAAGCCAGACAGAAAGATCCATGAGTTTAGTGCCAAACTTTTCAGACTTTGAACACACGTGTGTCAGGAAGGCAGCGTGAAGGGCCCGTTACCCCTAGCTGTCATCTCTTTCAGACCTCGCAGTTGCTGACACTGTATTCTGTTTCTTTCTCAGTGAGAAAAAGAAAGAAAAAGAGCGTGAAGAATTGTGGAAAAAATTGGAGGACCTGGAGTTAAAGAGAGGCCTGAGACGTGATGGGATAATTCCAACTTAACAGAAGTATGACAACAACGTTACTAACCTGTGGAGTCACACATTTATGTAGTAGAAGATGGAGCAACAGTTTTCTGTATTGTGCAACTTTACAGTAGATTTCACATTTGTTTCATTATTACAACAGCACTGTATATACCCTGTCTCTAAGTAAAAGAAAAAAATAAGGACTTCAATCCAAAGTTTGGACAGTAGATGGACTTCTCAGAACTTCGCAAACATAATCATTGTTCTAACCCTCTTAAAAACAAACACAAAAGCAGTCTTCAGAGATTGTTGATGAAATTACTATGTTAAAATCCCACTATCAGGAGTTCCTTATTTATCACTAGCAGAGAGTATGATATAATTTTCAAATGTGAACAATCTTAAATTTAGCTTGTCTTTCTGCTAAGCTGTTAAATGTATTTATAGGAAAGGAAAGAAAAAGCAAACAAAGACTGTCGTTTCCGTATGAGTTTGTATAACTTCTTCTCTGGATAACTTGACTGTGATTTGACATCTTTTCCTTTTGCACATCTTCCTGAGTTGAATGTCCGTGTGGAAAGGGCCATGAATTCTAACGGTCCCTGATGAAAGTTGTGTCTACTGGAGTGAACATCTTTCCAGTAACCAGGTAGTCCTGGTTCTCCTCTAGTTCTAGGATTAGGAGTTAAAAGAGAAGAGGTGATAAACATAGTAGGAAAGGGAATTTAGGATTCACACATCCGTTGGTGGTGAATCCAGATCACTGTCTTGAATCCTTTGAAAACAGGCACTGGGACATCACAAGCTTCAGTACCTGACAGTATTAGTTGCATACATCATTGAAAATACATACGAAAGATATGTTAGATATGTCAGGAAAACATCCTTTTGGACCATAGGACATAGAAAGACAAACATTAAACAATATAACCATGAAATTGATCACCAGGATTGAGAATTGGGAAAAGAGTTTGAGCAAGCAGCTTGGACTGTTTGGATTTGTTGCCTTACTTTTTAATATGTATTTATAAAGTATTTCAGCAAAAGAGGATGTAGCCTCTGGGGAAAAACAAACATGTTACAGTGTTTTTTGTAGATTCTTGTTCTATATCTCATCACAGCGCCAGCCCTGTTTTTGGCCAGAAAGGATTCAGGATAAACATTATGCATTCTGAATGGGATGCATATTCCTAACTACTGTATTTGTTACCAAAAGTGGTTCTACAAATGCTACTGAAAAATCTGGGAATTCCTAATGTCCTGAGTATTAATAATAAAGTTTAAAAATGCTTTTATATCAAAGGTGCATTGTGACCAAATTGTTTAAGAAAAAGTAAAAACAAAACCTAGGGCTGTATTATAGATAGATTTTTATTGGCTCTCTGCTTTGTATTAAAAGCGGAGTCTTACATCTTGGGCAGGTAAATTGCTGGTAGAACTTGTGTACAATGTGTACTTACCCACCGTGGTTTCATTGTATGTACTGAAAGATTTGTGCTTTGGGATTTGTTTCCAGGATGCTTTTGCTTGTTACTGACCCGGCAGCAGTGAGTTGAAAATTCTAAACCATCACTTCCAGCAGTATTCACAGTATAGAGCTGATTCTCTGTTCATATGTTGAATTGTAATAGTAGCAAACACAGACATACGAGCTGTTGTTGCTCTTAATTAGAAATACAATATAAATATGGGCTTGTATATTTTCTTCCTTCATTTAAATATAAAGTAGAATTTGCAGGGTTTTTTTGTTTCCAGAAAAAAGAAGAAAAGCTGCTGACCTTTCTCCCCTATGATGCGTTTCCAGATTACCAATCAGGTTACAGTGTATACGTAAAAGCCAACTAATTATGGATATTGTTATCTAGGTAATTTTGTAAGAAGTGAAAATGAAAACAAAACGGGCTTTGTTAATTCCTAAGAAATAGCGTTAAATCATATGCAACACCAAACACAACATGATTTAATGGATTTAGTAGTTTTGTTTCTTTCCTTTCCTTTTCTAAGAAATTCATTGTAATGTTAGCAAAGGCTTCCAAAAATGAAACAACTTGCTTTAAAAGTACAAGAGCAAAAGTACAAGTTCACATACTGATCTTGATTAAAAAAAAAATAAATTTGTAACAAGTATTCTTTAGCCCTTTTGATTTTAGCCCTTCCCTTTTGACTCTGCATTTATTTTTGATGGTATAACCTATTGTTTACCATGAGATAGGCATGGAAATCACAGGCTTATGAAGAATCTGCCCACTCAAGTGAAATGCAGTCATTTGAAATTAGAAAGGCCAGAACCCCTTTCTGTACCATTTCCTTTCCTCAATGCAGGTGAAAACCACAAGAATTTCTTGATGTCAATTTTGTGGGTTTGCCATTCCAAACTGAGAAGAATAAAGCTAAATTTTAGACATTGAAAGAAGCAATTAGAGCTCTCTGTCTAAAATTCCTATGGCAACTTCTAAGAAGAAACACTGTCTTTTCTTTTTTAACTAAAAGTGACAATGTGACATTTGTCATGTTGTGTGCGGTGATGCGGAGTAACTGAGGTAATCTGACTGTTGCACTATGTGACATATTTAAGGATGTACTGGCTGCATTTGCAGCAGCCCTCTCTCTGTCCCTTCCTGCAATTCTGTCACCGCGATCTGAGTTCATTGTGACAAATGCATCTTCGTGTTATATTTTGTTTGTCTCATAGTTTCCAGAACTATATATAAATATATTTTTAAAATAGCAAATATCGTAGTTAGTGAGTGATAATTACTCCATATCCCTACCATATTGGTTTCAGGGATGGGATTAAGAGTGTCATTTGAAGAAAAAAAAACTCAACCCTGTGGTTTAGAATGATGCTGAGGCCTGAGGCTGTAGGCCTGGAACTATGTGAGCGAAGTGACTCCATCTCCTTAGAGTCGCGCATGCATTCCGTTTTCTCATCATGCAAGTGTCCCCCGTTGTTCAACCTCAGTGTTTACTTTTTGTCCTTTTCAATTTTTGTTCTTCCTCACATCTGACTTTTTATAAAATAAAAGAAAAAATAAAAAAGTAAAAGAAATGATACCCTCGATCCCGCTGGATACTCATAAGCAGGGTTATACTCCTTCGTCTTGGGCACGTTTGCCTAAATGGAAGGACTTAATTTATTTCATACCTCCTTCCACGCGTGGGGCAGTCCAGGTGTAGGGCTGGGAATTGCTCATAATTGCACCTGCTGTACTTAAATATATAGCCCTAGGCTCAATCACACTATGGAAAGAAAAAAAGAAGTATATTTAGAGCTTTAAAAGCTTTTTTATTTTTTTGTGGGTAAGGGGGGGTGGGTAAGGGATGTGTGGGTGATAGGACGTTACTGGGATTTTTAAGTGTTCGGGGTTTTGTTTTTCTTCCTGTTTTTTGTTTCTGTTCTTCCCATTAATTGGATGCACTGACCTGGCCCAGGAAATGAAGAGACTCTCTCTCTTGATGCTATTACCAATGTTATCACGAAGTGACAGTCACCTCTAGCAAAGGAAAAAAGGTGGCATCAGACATGATCAGTGATGTTTTATTTGCACATGAATATTTTTATTTTTGTATTCTGGCTCAGCTGCTTCTCTGAGTGGAGTTAAGGAATGAGCCACAAAGGATTTTTTGTAATAGGTATATTGGCAATGCATTTTTATATTTCTCTATATTTAATTTTGAAAATCTAAAAGGAGGATTGTGCATCTTGAGAGAAAGTTGAGCAGACTTTGACGTAGTGGAATGTTAGCCCGTGCTGCTGCTTATGCACGACGGCAGCAGTAGTCTGTCTCTTGGAAATGAACGATGTCTATGAATATAGATTTCCTTTTCTTCCCTTCCCTTGTCCCTCCCTCCCTTCTTCCATCTCCTTTTCCCCCTTTATCTTGTCTTTGGATTTCTTTTCTTTCAGTCCCTCCCTCCCTCTTTACTTTTAAAAAAATCACTTATTGTAAATAAGTTGTAATCCAAACCTCATGTATCAGTGGGGAGATTTCAAATATAAATATTACCAATACATTTTCTGGTGGTTGTCTGATTTTTGACTGAAGTATAATGAGAATGACATCCATTGCTTTTGGTTCGGGGGTTTTGCTACAGCTTCATAAATCTTTGGTATTTTAGTATTGCATTGTTTTAGCAGGAGAGGGCAGCACAAGTTCATTTTCCATGTTAGTACTGCTGTGGTTCTTGACTGGTTTTCAACTTAGCTATGAGTGTGTGTACCTGTTATTTTTTTCTTTTTAAAACAGCATCTGTGTGTGGGTAGAGGTAAAAATGAAACATTTTTGATATGAAAAGTTGCATATGAAAATTATAGACTGGTTCAGCCAGACAGTGAAGACCTTCTATGCCACATCAAAGTGAAAATGCTACAAAGAATCTCCCAGCCCTGGCTAGAACATGTTACTTCTTTTTCAACACAACAGAACGCAAGCTGTGTCTTACACACTTGGAATTTAAAATGTTCTTCGGAAATAACTTACTTTATTCTAAGTGGTGACAGAAACGAAAATGGAGGTGCTCCCAGAACGAAATGTAACCTTCCCCTTTCATAGCTCTTTGAGAGGTTCTGTACTGTGGGTGCATCCAAATAAAGCAGCAGTGAAGAGTTTTCTTTGTTTGTTTGTTTTTCTGATCTGTGGCCTTTTGGTCATACGAAGAATAGATTTGGTGGACTCAGCCTTGAGTCAAAGGGGCTGGCATGTTCAGGCTTCTGTTTGGAGAAACCAGATCATGAGCATGGAAGACTGAAGTGTGGCCCAGTATCTCTTGCTGTGTAACAGACTGCTCCCTACAGCTAATGGCTTCAAACATGTATTCTGTTCACCCATCTATAGTTTGGGAAGAAACTGACAAGAATGTCTTGTCTCAGATCCTCTAGTGTTCCCTGGGGTGTCTCGAGGGTGAGGAGAATTCCCACACCAACGCGGCTCGCTCATGCTGGCAAGTGAATGCCGGCCATTGGCTTGCAGGTCTTGGGGTGCCTACTTCCTCCTCACAGCACTTCCTCCCTGAGCTTCCTCATAGTATGGCAGCACGTGTCAAAAGGCAGGAAGTGGAAGCTGCCAATGCTTCAAGGTCTGGGCTCAGACACACGCCAGCATCACTTCTTGGACTCCGTTGACGGAGCGGTCATAGAGCCAGCTCAGACCTCACTGAATCAGTGGGCACATGTGAAACAATTTTCAGTCCTCTTTAAGTTACCATTGAACAGTTTTGCCATCTGATTTAGGTGTGGTCTGCTGTCTCACCTTATTATGTAACATGAAATTTGGGACCTTCTAGAGTTGACAGCCAACATTTTAAATTTAATCTGGGTTGCAGGAAATGCTCAAATGTTGCATCATTTATATTTCAAGACATAACTAGCACCTAAAGATCAATCTCTTGGCAAGCTAATAGAAAAATTTGTAACAAAGTATTTTAGAGTTAAAGATGTAAGAGGTAATGTGAGTGGCAAAATACACGTTTTTGAAAAGGCTGATTTGTTTCTTTGATGTGTGTGTATGTCCTAAAGAAGTCTTTTTCTCCTTCCCTACTTGCCATTTCTTCTAAATTATCTTAGGTTTTAGTTTCCATTTTGAGGTTCATGATTCACCTTTGATTTTTTCCTTGTGTGTACGTTGTAAAGTAGGAGTCTAGATGCACTTTTTTCCCCTTATGGTTATCCAGTTATTGTGGCATTAGGTGACAAGTCTCCCCGGTGAATTGTTTTGGTGGTTTTGTTAAAAAAAAAAAAAAAATACTATACAAATGTGGATCTAAATTATGGTTCTCAGGGCCAGGGGTTTAGCTCAGCAGCGTAAGCACCTGCTTGGCAAATGCGAGGTCATGAGTTTGATCCTTGGAACCCAAATAAATGAATAAATAAATAAATAAGGGTTCTGTATTTAGCTCCCGTGGTCGATATGCTGATTTTTATGCCCAAACTAAATTGTTACACTTAGTATAGCGTTATAGTAGTCTTAATCAAATCATCTGTGTCCTTCAGTTTGTATTCTCAAGACTATTCTCAAAATTCTAGGTCTTTTGCATTTCTACATAAAATTTAGAAGCAGCATGTTAGGAATGCTGGTGGAATTATGATTGGTGTACATTAAATCTATAATTTGAGGAGGAATCAACATTTTGATAACATTGAGGCCTTGCAAAAAAGCGTGTGGTGGAAGCATCATGCTCAACAGTGTTGAGAGGGGGTCCTATGAGTTGGATTAGGCCATGGGGCTTCACATGGTGAGGAGTGGGGCTGTGTCATGGAAGGAGGGCATTGTACAAGGGGAGCTTGTCACACCCTTTTCTTGCCCCTCCTCAGTCCTCTTGTCATGGGCTAATACAGCAAATTGGCCCTCCCAGGCACAGCCCTGGAGGTGAACTGCAGGACCCAGAAAAGTGTTCTTTTCAAGTGACACGGAGTCTGGCAGCAGAAGGCAGACTGAGACATAGTCCATGGCAGAACCTCTGCTGAGAGGTTTGCTCTCGAAGTATTTTGTGGTTCTCATTGTAGAGGTCACGTGTGTCGTGTTAAATGTATTAGTTAATGGAATTGGTTTTTATATGTTAACTGACATCTTTAAAGCTTGCTAACATTATTCAGTTTGTTATAGATTGCCTTAGACTTTACATAAATAATCATTATCTACAAAGAGTTTGCCTCCTTATTTCAGATCTCTCTATGTCTATTACTGTTTCTGTTTTCTTTAGTGTAATGGTTAAGCGTCCGGTGTAATGTTGAATGGAAGTTGTGAAAATGGACACCCAGCTCTATTTCTAATATTAGAAAGTGTTCAATATGTAGAGTTTTTTCTTTCGCATTGAGGAAGTTCCCTTCTATTTCTGGTTGTTTGAGAATTTTGTCATAAATAAGTTGTGGCATAAAAGTGCTTTTTCTGCATACATTGAAATACACTTTCTCCTTAATGATGATGAATTACATTGAGTTTCTGGGATAACCAGTGAATAGGTTGTTGGGAATCTAGATTTGAGAAAGAAAAGAGGGGAGACTCTGTGTGTGTGTGTGTGTGTGTGTTACTAAGCTGCTTACATTTCTAAATGTATATTTAGCAGATTTGCTAAGTTGCTAGTTATTTCTTCAAACGTGTTGACTTCTGACCCTCCATTCTTTTTGTCCTGTTCTTTCCTAATACTATTTTTGTCTCTTTCGTATCAGGGGTTGAATCCAGGGCTTTACAGAAGCTCTGTGATTAAGTTACATCCCCAACCCTAATTACATGTGTTAAACCTTTTGGTGTTGTACGATAAATCACAGGCACTGTTGCAATTTACATCAGGGCTGGGGATGGTGCACACCTGTAATCCCAGCACTGAGTGGCTGAGGAAAGAGGCTCGTAAGTGTGAGTTTCACCTGAGCAATTCAGGAAGAACTTGCCTCAAAATAAAAAATAAGGTGTGTTGGGGCTGGGGATGTAACTGGCCCTGGGTTCAAGCCCCACTACCCCCCCCCATAGATAAAATTCTTGTAACAAAATAATTTTAAATTCTCTGATTCAGTGGCACTCAAATATGTTGCAGCCTTCATTTTTCTTCAGCTATGAAATACAGCCACCCCAAAAGGAACCAATGCCTTTTAAGCTGTTATTTGCTGTTCTCCCCTTGGTGCCTAGCAACCACTAATCTGCTTTCTGTCTTTATGGATTTATGTGTCCTGGACATTTTACCGAAGTGGAATCATACAACATGTGACCTCCTGTGCTGGCTTTTTAAAGCACTTACCGTAATTGTTTTTGGAGTCCTTTCTCATGGCATGAACCAGTACTTCATTATTTCTTATTGCTGAATGATACTCCATTGTAAGGATAGCACCATATTTGTGTATTCATTTATCAGTCAGTGGAAATACCATTTCCAGCTGACGGTACTGTGAGGAGTGCTGCTGTGAACATTCGTTTGGTTGAATGCCTGTTTTTAATTCTCTTGCGTGTATTGGAAAGAGTAGAATTGCTCTTTACCTTTTTGAGGAAGTGTCAGGCTTCCCCCACAGCAGCTGCACAGCTTTGCTTTCCTGCCAGCAGCATATGAGGGTTCTGATTCCTCCACATCTCTGCAAACACAGCCATTGTATGTTTTTATTCTTGCCGTCTTAGTGGTATGGAGTTCATTTAAAGAATGTTCTTGAGGTGGATGACTCTCGTGGCTCTGTGTGTACGTTCCCTGGCTCTTCTGTCATCTATTTTCTCTTAAATCCCTATATTTTTCCCTTTAGGTACTGTACTATTTTAAATATAATCTTCCCTTGATTTGTTTTTGGTTTTTCTGTTGAGATTATATCTTCATCTTTGGTATGTTTGTTCTAAATATCACTGACAATAGTTACAATAATTCATAAAATTCTGTTTACGGATTTCAACATTGGGTCATCTCAGGAACTCTGTTATAATATGTTTGAATTTGTCACATTTCCTGGTTCTTCATGTCAACTAGTTTTGGGTTTTGTCTTGGCTGTCTTGAATACTACAGTGTGGGAACTCTGGATTGTATACATCCCTCTGAAGGGCACTGGTGATTTTACTTTAATAATTAACTTTGAAAGACTCAAAGTGTAGACTCCTGAAGCAGCAACTCGAATCAGTTTCACTCTTATCCTTCGCTGAGCTCGGGTCTTAGCCTCACTTTGGGGCTGGGTTGTGTAAGATCTGGGCTCTAGCTTTCTGGCCGTGCCTTCTTCTGGGATGCCCCTTATGTTCCTTCTAGTGGTCATGGCTGTCTGAACTCCACCCTTATCCTTCAGGCCAGAAAGTCAGATTTTGTATTGTTTTGCTTCACATAGTGTTGACCCCAACCTAAAACCCAGAAAGACGAAAAACGTAATCCTTTTTCCTCCAAGAATTGGCTTCCCTCCAGAGTTTATCTGTGATACCATACTATCCGCAAGCAGACGTAACATTTTTTTCTTTTCTTTTTTTCCTTTTTGTCTTTTTGAGACAGGGTTTTGCTCTGCAGTTCAGGCTGGCTTTGAGCTCACTTTGTAGCCCAGGCCAGTCTCGAACTCACAATGATCCTCCTGCCTCAGCCTCCTGAATGCTGGGATTACAGGGGTGCGCTACCATACCTGGCTTATTTCTGTTATGTCTTTTCACTAGTGTTCCTCTTCTCTTCTGAAACTCAGACAACATTTTGTATTTAGTTGTTACATCTCCTTAGTCTCATCCAAACCATGACAGTTTCTAGTCTCACTTTTCATGACTGACATTTAACTTTTCTGGTCAGTTGTTTTTTTTGTTTTGTTTTTTAGAAAAACCCTCAAATTGGACTTCTCTGGTATTTTGTCATAATTAGACTGAAGTTGTGCTTTAGAGATATTGTGCATTTTGGTGCATGAAATCAGAGATTACACACCTGATTACTTATGACTGGTGACACTAGCCTTTATCATTTTGTTCTCTATGAGACCTTTTCACTATGAAATTACCAATTTCCCTTTTATAACTACCAGATACTTTGGGAAAAAATATGTTAAGACTATGCAGAAATCTGTTTTTGTGTAAACTGTCCACTAGTTTTCTTCTGTTTCATTTCTAATAAATGTATTAATCAAAATCCTCCTGTAAGAAAGAATAGTTGCTTCTTCCTTATTCATATTCATATCGGTGTGCA